ATAGTATATAAAAAGCTATTTCTTTCTCAAGTGAAATGTTCCTCCTTGTAGAAAGGGTAAAATGATGTTCTGACCTGCTAAACCCCTGGTACCTCAAATATAAAACAGAAATTTATAGTCTGCTTTCCAACTGTCCTTTCCTTTGGCTTTTTCTTTGGTTTAATGAAATCTTCTACATCCTGCCTACAGATTATTGAACACATCACCACTCACTGCCTTGAGAATGTGGAAGCTGAAGTGTTAGGTAGTGAGTAGGGTATCATTAGCTGGAACTCAGGAGAGGTATCTAGGCTGAGTAAAGTCACTGCATGATGGCAATCAAAGACACAGGACCATGTGGAGTGAAAGAAAATTCCCAAGACCTGGGGGTACTCAGGTGTTTACACATCTAGCAGGAAAGATGAGAAGCTATGGAAGAAGACACAGCTAGAGACCAGGTGAAGGCAATGTTCTGGGAGCCAAGAGGCAAAAGTGTTTCCAGTTTTTTTTTCCTTTGTGCTGTAGATGCTCAGGCTTTTGGGGTCAGTCTGCAGTCTGCTGGTTCTGTGGGATCTCAAGAATTCTTGTGTCATCATCCTTCCCCTCCACTGCAAAAACAAAACAAAACAAAACAAACCTCTGAACTAGCCTGAGACTGACTGTCCACTGAGTTCTGCTGCCTCTGAATAGTCAGAACTGCAGTGGCTTCGGGGTTAGGAGACCTCATTCTCAGGGCAACTCCTCCCTTGCAATTGTCACGGGCATGGCCCCACTATCTCCAGACTAGCCAAGGCTCAGGGAGGTCAGAAAGACTCCTATAGGAGATCTAGGTGTGTGGCTTAGTACATACAAAGCTTGACTCCTAGCATGACAAAAACACAAATAAAAAGTGTCTCGCAAATTATTGAAGCAACTTATAAGGAAGGGAGGAGGGGGATGTGGCCTAGCTACCCCCCCCCCCCGGAAAGCCAGGAAACTGAGCCTTTCGACACATGCTAAAGAATCATGAGACACAGTTCTGGCTGATATAGCTCTTCAACAGCCACTTCTCCTACAGTAGGGCATAATGAAATACCCCTTAGATTCTTTGAAAATGCGAGAACAGCTAGAATTTCATAATTACTGCGAGATTACGTCTTTTATTTCAAAATTTCAATATATCAGCCCCTCGAATGAGGTGTGGAATCCTTCCCAAACTGAGAGCATTGTGTCTTTCTATTGCCACACATTATGGTTGTGAGGCTGCTCCTTGTCCGCTTCTCTGCCTTGGGGTAGCCAGACTGTTGCTGGGCTGGAGGGGGAAATGCTTAGCCAGGTGGGTGGGTATGGTGCAGGGGGCCTTAGTCTTCAGTGAGTGCATGGGCAAAGAACACACACCCAGAACAGCTTCAGAGAACTGGTTCCGTTTATTGAGGGGGAGGTCTTCATGCCCCTAGGGAGGTGGGCATGGTCTCTGGGGCAAGGTTTGTGTGGCCATGTACAATTTGCCAGGACAGGGGTGTTTGAAAGATACTTCATTTGCATACTCAGGGACAAAGTGGTCCAAGGGGGGAAATTTTATAGTGTCAAACAAGGAGCGAGGCCCGATAACTGTCAGGGCAATAAATTCTTACTAGGGTTGATGGGGCAGTGGACTTTCTGGAAACAGGCTGGGAGAGGGGAGGGAGCCTACACCCGCTGTCCTCCACTGAGGTATCAAAGGTTGAAGCTCTCTTCTACCCTTCCTCAATAACCCTAGGCCATTATGGTCCCACACTGTAATTCTACTTTCAAGACCCCTAATGTACTAGAACACAAATAGGGTATGGAAAAAGAGACACGTAAGACTCTTTATGTATTTGTACTTTTATTTTTCCATGGTGATCGTTGCCAGTTCCTAACAAAATAAATAAATAAAAACTGACAACAACTTGTAAGTTATAGTCTCCTTCAGTGTGTTAAGGTACATAACTATCAAAGCTGATATTAACTGCAAACAAATTGATACAATTCAGTACTCCGATAAAATTCATAGTCAGACAAGTTTTATGGTGAACACAATACAACTCTATGTTCCGTTAGAATCTTCAATAGAAACTTTTTTATGCGAGTGGTTCTTCAGACTTAGAAAATGCAGTTATAGAGTGGGAAGGGGCAGAAGGAAGATACACTGTATTACACTCAACAGCAATTTGAATAGCAGAGATGTCTTAGACATAAACATGCTTCAGTTAAAATGTTAAAATATACCCAGAAGTGCTGTTTACGTTCTCCTCCTCACACAACATTAGAAAAAAATTGAAAATACTGAGCAGCAAATCAAACTTTTAAAAATTTTCACAGAAGAGAAATTGAGGCAAAAAATGACAAATTTGGTCCAATAAAGGGACTTATGGGTAACTTTATAGTTTGCTGACTGAACGAAACAAAAGTAACACAGTAGGTCATGGCATATAGTTGCTGGGTAAATGATTGATATCTTTTGGCAGCGGAATTTAGTTAGCTGTCCTCTCAAAATTTTTGGCTTTTCCCCCACAGACTCTTGACAGAGAAGGTGTGAAAAATGTGTAAGAGAGCAGGAGAGTTACAGCGTGGGACGGGGGCTTTGCACAGTCAGACTTCAGCGTCAAGTACAGAGTATAACAGGTTTACTTGTTTACAGATTGCGCCTACTGGGATATTAGGTAATTTTGGTGGGAGACTGTAAGTTACGCAATTTTGCATCTTGGGTTGCTTTGGTTCTCAATAAGGGTATATCTCTGTGTGTACGTATATTATACACACATATAATGAGAAATCTGTGTAACACATAAACCGACTGTAATATGCTTACTTAACTTAATCTTCACTAAAACAATTAGTTTTCAAATATGTTCAATCCAAAACCTGAAATCTCCATCAAACTTTTTCATCATTAATATGGTTTTTGGGGGGTACGATAGGTGTAACCCAATGGTAGTGTTTGCTCAACAGGTGTAAGGCTCTGAGTTTTATTCTCAGCTTTGAGATTAAAACAAAAATTTATAAAGATGTAGCTCTTTCCTGGGCTCTTTAAGAAAACATTAAAAAAAAATACACAAAGCTACCCCAAACTTCTTGCATCGAGTGATGAGGCATGGCAGGAAATTCTCCCAGCAGAACAATATACCAGTGTTAAAATTCTCACTCAGCTTCTATAAATTAACTGGCTGTGTTTCGGCCCAGTCCTTGATGAGCTTTAGTCTTTTGTCTGGAGAAGCCAAGGTCACTGATATTAGACGAGTTTTCTCTACATCCAGTTGGTGTTGATGGGATTTGAAAGGTGTTCTTACATGGGACACTAGATGTCAGCTAAATCAAACGGCAAAGAAATACACCGTTTAGATCTCACTGGCTTTCCTTTCCCTTTGTCTTTTTTAAAGATGAGTCTGTTGGTTAAGATGGGAATGAAGAGCTGGGATTCTGCAAAGGATGTGAGTACCAGCATGCACATGTGCCTGGCTTACTTTATCTACTTGTTTCTCTCCTGGTAAGACCAGGGCTTCCAATGAGAGCTGTGTGAACCTTGCAGGGTTTCCCACGAGCAGCTCTATGGGCAGCAATATTTTGTTCCCCTGCACTCTAGAGGTCAGAGGTAACTCTTTGTTGCCTGAGCATATGCCAGGAAAAAGGTGGAGGAAGGACAGGCCCTCCCTGACCTGGTATGTGTCCCAGAGAGATTCCACCTAAGCCTGAGCCTTGGCGAGGCAGCCTCCCAGGAAAGGCGAGGTGTGCTGGCATGACTCCTGAAGCAACTGCACAGGATAGTCTCAGTGACTCACTAAGAGCCACAGGCTGCGAGTGGAGACCAACCTTCTGTCTAATGAAGACAAACCAATGACAGGGAAAGAGGGCCAGATTTCCTCTTAGCTCCCATAGGAATGCATAGTTATCTGTAAAGTTAAAAGCTTTCCAGTGTGTTTCTCCTTTGGAAAAAATATGTTATTTTTCCTGTATTTTCCTCACTTCCTGTATTTAGATATATGTTTTCAAAATGTGACTTTACCATCTGAAATAAGATGTTGACTGAACTGTTTGCTGGTAAAACGTTTGAAGACTGGCATGCTAATGTACACTTGTAATCCAAGAACCTGGGAGGGTAAGGCTGGAGAATTAACATGAGTTTCAGGCTAGTCTGAACTAAAGAGTGAGATTGTGTTAAACCAACAGTAACACCAGCAGTAACAAAATAACAAAAATAAAAAAACAAACAAAAATCCCCTGTAACACACAATTTCAAAAGTACATTTCCATATTAGATAAGATCTGACCAGCATACTGCAGTATTTTCAAATTATGTCTAATTCAACTCTGATTCTGATTTAATAGCTCTTCAATAATTCCCTACAAAAAAAAATAAATAAATACTCTAAAGTGGAGTTCAAATCTGTCTTCAAATGTGGATTTTCTGACTGGTACTCAGCAACGACCTCACATAATGACGTACGCTACCTAAGCGGAGTACCCATTGTTAGGGTGGGTTTAGCGCAGGGGATGGTCCTTGATCCCCTCCAGGCACCTCTGCACCTGGCAGCAGAGATGGTGAAGGGGCATCCTCTCCCAAATCAGTGGGCTCAAATGTCTGGTGGAGGCACACAGTTGTGTTTGCCTCCCCCAAGTCCCACTGTTATTGCTCTTTTAATACAAGTCAATTATCACAGAGATGAGAAGCAGAAAATTTATCACTAATGCAATTGATTTGACTGTATTACTAGGCTCGCCAGCCACTGTGCCAAGCCACGAAATAGTCAAGTCAATTATCGGACACGAGAAGTAGAAAATAAATTACTGATGCAACTGACTTGACCATATTGCTCGGCTCAGAGGAATGTAGCAGACATCCCCTGAGCAACAGACTGGGCCCTGCTCACTCCAAGCACGGCACCAGCCTAGCGAACTTTGAGGCTCTTCAATAACCCATTGCACTCAGGAAATTCTTACAAAAATATCAGTTTTCTTTTGACATTAAATATTTTACATTATAATATATTAGCAAATAGTCTGTCAAAAATAAAACACTTTCCAAGTGTATTAAAAATATACAGTTATTGAGCTAACACATGACCCAACATAAATACTATTAATACAACAAAATATTAACATTAGTCAGGCATGCTATGCATTTCTGTTCATAGTTCGGTGGTACTGTTCAGACTTGTGGCAATGCAGCGTCCCCTGACGTCACTCTCTCATATTCCTTCTTTGATTTTTTACTTTTTCGATTTTTGTACCTGTGAATAATCAGAAACAAAATAGCACTGTAATTAACAGATCTAAAAAAAAAAAACTCTGAAACAAATACATGGAGTCTACAAGCATATCTAAAATGCCCAGACTGACCAGGTTTGGGTCAGCCAATGGGAAAAGCAAGAGATCAAGAGAGCGGTGTCCCGAAGTCCATCCGATTATATAGGAAATGGATGTAGTTAAACAGTTAACACTATGAAAAGCTTACCATGGGCACAAAGCTGCTAAATGACAGGGGGGGAGTCTATAGTTTCTTTCTCTATCCATTTCTCTCACCAGTGTTACGTTCTGGTACATCTAATTTGGAAGGCATTATCATCAGATGGCTACTTAGAACAAAATCTAGACAATGCTTGTCTGGAAAAAAAATTTGCTAACAATTTGTACCAAGTTCAAACTAAGAAATATAAAATGGAAATATTTTCATGGACGCTGTAAACAATTCATACTGGTTTACAGGTCCAGGCAACTTAAGAATCTGGACAATCTTTAGTTATATTTTTTTCCTTAATTATCATTTTGTGAGTAGGGGAAAACCCTAATTATCATAAGAGAAGACTTCCTGTCTGTGTTTTATGAAGAAATGACCATCTTGTTTGTCTCATATATGCACACAGGCAGAATGAAACCCTGGTTTTACGCAGCGTGGTGTCTTTGTGAGTACCACAGGGAAGACTCCATCTTATCCCTCTTACACTCTGCTTTGATTCCAACCAGCTTCTAAGTCTAATATTGGGTAGTTTTAAAAGTAATAGGCAACAAAACTAACTGGCTTACCATCTGCAGAAATAGTATATGGACCCAGCAGTGATGACAAGAACGAGGAGAATGAGGATCACCGTCAGGGCAACATATTCTGTGCTCAAGGGCTGATGGACCGTCAGAAAGAAGTGTTCACATCGCATGCCGGTGTAGCCCACGTCACATCTGCGGGGGAAAAGTTGCAAAGACAGCCAGTTACTTTAAAGTGAAGTCACGTTATGAGGCAGTCTACAAGAACTAAGTCTACAGTGTGATACAGGGAACCAGCAAGATCTGTTAAAAGTTGTCAAAATGAATTTAAAAATCGAATGCAGAGTTGACTTCGTGTTGATAAAATGGCTCCACAAAGCTTCTGGGCCAAAGGGCTAAAGCAAAAGGACAATCTATGTTGCTGCCAGGGCTCGGGTCATCTAGAGTGGTTTAGTTTTCTATGTATGAGATTGCTTTTGTTTAGTTGAGGACTGATTTTTAAAACAGTGGCTTTTAGGGAATTGCCACTGTCGTGAGAGGGGCGGCCTGCGAAGTTGCCCTCATTACTATACCCAAAGTGTCTGTCCACACTGAAATATTCTATCTGCTGTCTCATTTCAAAGAAGTAATACAGTTTGCAATGGTATCTATAAAGTATGTTTCAACAGCCCATAGCAACAGAGTGACTGCATGTAAAAGGAGAGAAGGTGTGGGCTTCAGAACTCTCATGGATGCTCATTTTAGTCACTTCACCTGCAGTAATTTTCACTCATGTCCACCAGGTAGATGCACTGTCCATGCAAGCAGTAGCCATTCATGTCCGAGCTACACTTTGTAATTGACACTTGAGCCACGCGGGGATTGTCTTCCATCTGAACTGTGAAAGGAATGGAAAGTTCAGTGACTCCTTTGCTGGGACTCTGGGTGTGTAATTAGCCTTCCTCTAAGCAACTTCATCAGACAGGTCAGGTATCAACAGTGGAGACATTTCAGGGGATTGGAATTACTCTACTTACTACATGACCCCAACCAATAAAACAAACACTGAACATGTATCATTTCCAACTGATAAACATTACATACACCCGAACATACAGAAGCTAAGCAAAAATGAATCTTGAAGATTTAGTTTTCAGAAGACAACAGATAGACACACACACACACACACACATACACACACACACACACACACACACACACACTCCATATTGGGATCATTCCCTTCCCCCAAGTAAAACTTATCTTTTGCTTGCTGTTTTTTTTTTTTTTTTTTTTTTTTGGTTTTTAATTCTTTTTTTTAAATTTTTTATTAATTACACTTTTTTTGAAGAATCAAGCAGTTCTGAAATTTCTTCCTATTAAATCAATTGAATTACAAATTGAAAGCATTGATTAATTCAGGAGAATTTAATTCTAAAATAAGCCTTGGTTGGGTGCTTATTTCCAAATCATTGAGATTATCAACCAAGAAAAGAGTCTCTTGAATGTCTCTTGAATAGACACTCCACCATGAACTAGACAAAATTTGAAATGGAGAGTCTGCTAAGGAAATACAACAGTGAATGTAAGGGTTTTACACAGAAATAGTACTTAGGAGGATGATGTGGGTCCATTGGCAGTGTGCTTGTCTAGCCTGTGCAAAGCTTCGGTTTAACCCCTGCCACAGCATGCACTGGATACAGTGGTGCACTCCCCACTCGGGAGGTGAGTCAGAATGATTATAAGTTCAAGATCATCCTCAGATCCATGTGAGTTTGAGGCTAGCCTGGGACTCAGGAGATGCTGACAATCAGTCAATCAATCAAAGAAACAATGATTTGCCCAAAATATTTAGATTTATCCAATGAAAGTACACTTGTTGGAGTACTCTTTCCTGCCTAAATAACACCCAAAAGAAAAACAGTGACAAAATTCCAGAAAGCTTGGTGGTGATGGACAAGAAAGAAGTAGAGAACCTCAAACCATTCTTTGGATTCAGTATTTAGCTGAGACCAAAGCACAGGAAGTTAGTTCTCCTGGACCATGTTGTCGCTGGAGAAAGGGTGACTGTCCATCACTCACTTTGTATTTCTACCTTAACATGATGCTGATTCACACTAAGCATTCTATATATGTTTCCTGAACACTATGGCTGACCCAAAACAAGAACATTTGTTCCTCTTTCATGCTACATCTATCAAGAGAAAATTCATTGTATATAAAATTTACACTTTCCTGTTCTTCATGGGATCTGACCCTTCAAATGTTTTCCAATAATGGCTTTATAATAGATATAATATTCCTTGTTTTCTCTCTTTCTAAAATTCAAATCTTTATAAATAAGTGTACAAGTTTTCTTCCCCTGTTATCCCTTCATGTAATTTCTCTATATCTCTAGTTAATTATTAGGTAAAAATTGGCACAGCCGGTGTCACTTTCTCTTGTTTCATTCTCACGTATTTATTTCTACTTACATTTTACTTTAAAATGTGTAAAAGTGCGATGCTACTTTCATGACATTAGGCTTACCTAAAGCTGTACAGTTATCTTCAGATTCTCCTGGGATACATGAAGGAATCACTGTTGTGCTGATAACTGCTTGGAGAAGGTGGAAACCTGGTTATGGAAGAAAATAAAATACATAAGTAATGTTTCAAGGAGAAACTTTCACTACATTTATTCAAGTCTGTGGTATAGGTTGAGATTTTTTTTTAAGAAGTTAGTTCATCAAAGTGATAACAAAGTAATTTATGGAAACATAAATTTAAAATAAGCGATCCCTCTTGTAAATACATTTTAATTTACAAAATATAATCTAGATGAAATGAGAATATTGTTGTCCTTTTGTTCAGGAGGACTAGCCACAGCATTGCCCACAGATAGTAAATTTACAGATGTTCAAGTTCCTTTCACAAAATCAGCACGAGATCTGAATGTAACCTGAGTTTGTCTTCTGGTATACCTTAAATCGTCTCCAGATTACATCTAAAACTTACAATGTAGATGCTAGACGATATCTGTTACACTGTGTTGTTTCATTTCAGAACAGACACTATTCTCAAATGTTTTGAACCCATCTGCAAGGCCATCTGTATGTCTTATCTATTGCAGGAAGAAACTGGTAAACCACGCCAAGCTCCGCAAGCCCTCGCACCTAGTCTTTGTCAGCACCGTGAAACCGAAGCAACTGTCTTATTCAGTAAAAACATAAATGTTGGAAATTAGGCATCATAACAACTCAAACCATTTCTGAATTGTATGGGAAGCATGTTAAAAAGAGCCTTTTAATTATATACTTGTGTACACAAGAGCATTTTGCCTTTTCTGCTTAACCTTTGTGTATTTGCACACCAATCCTCTTTGTGGCCTGTAGGACTATATAATTACTATTATATAGTCAATACCTATGCTGGTGGTAGTAGTAACAGCAATTGGCCAGCCTAAAACATGAGCTGTGTGGAGACATTATTCTGTTCATTTTGTCTATACAATTTCACTTCATGCTCTCAGTGACACTAAGGAAGACACCATTAACTTCATCAGATATAAGAACAAAACAAAACTAGACTGAGGATGAAGAGTTTAAATAACTTCTCCCAGTGATGCACATTAAATGGGCCACAGGGTAGAATTTGGAAACGGGTAATAATACTTGAGCATCATGTATATCATGGAACACAGTGGACTAACTAAAGCGGAGCATTATTTACACCATAGGCAAAAGGAATGGTGAAATGATTATGGTGTGAGAAAACTCATGCTATGTTTCATGGACAGAGCAAATCACTTTCCCAACTCTCATTTTTTTTTCTTACAGCGTTTTAGGGAAACGGAAATGTTTTTGTTTTTGTTTTCAGAAATGTTTGCCTTATTAGAGGTTCCCATAAATATCCCCAACATTCAACTTCTATCCTGTAGACTGAATAAACTATCCAAGTAGTGCCCTCTACTGGTTTACAGTAAGAGCATGACTCTGTATAATTTGGCATTTAATTGCATCATTTAATCCATATGGAGAAAAAAAAAGATTTTTTTTTCCTTTATCAGAGGAATGTTGAAATTATTAGCCAAATTGTACATATGGGTGTTCTAAACATCAGGCACAGATCCTCCTGAAGGCCAGCATCATGGTTCCTTCTATTGTGTTTCAAACTTGGCACAACAATCCCGTTCATGGTAAAGACTGTGTACACACCAAATGAGTCCAGTGTGTGCAAATTAAATGTCTTATACGGCATGACTTATTGAGTGACCGCAGTTTTATATTCTGTCAGGAGTTTGAAAGCACTAAAAGCTCTAGCTCAGTGCTTCTCAACCCTAATAATGCTGTGACCCTTTAATACAGTTCCTCAGGTTGTGGTGACCCCGAACCATAAAGTTATTTTTGCTGCTACTTAGTAACTGTAATTTTCTACTGTTATGAATCATCATGAAAATATTTGATATATGACCTCTGTGAAAGGGTTATTTGACCCCCAAAGAGGTTACAGCCCTCGAGAACCACTGCTATAGAATAATTGTCCCAATAATGTTTCTCCAGGAAATATTAATTGATTTTTATAACCAAAGTTAATCTTTCTTAAATGAAAAAGAAGAGGAGGAGGACAAAGAGGAGGGAGAGGAGAAGAAGAAGAAGAAGAAGAAGAAGAAGAAGAAGAAGAAGAAGAAG